AAAATATAAATAATAAGTAATTTAAATTAAATAATTTTTTTTTTAAAATAATAAAAAAATTTAAAAAAAAATTATATATCTATATGAAATTTTATTCTAACTGTATTTTAAAATTAATATATATATATTTATATCAAAATACACTTAGAATGAATTTGTATATATATCTATGTATATAAAAATAAATAAAAAATAATAAGAAATATACATACGTCCATATACAAAATTACATAAATAATTATATAAATATACACGTAGACTTCAAATATATAAATATGCATATATATTTAAATTCTACGTGCGTATTTATGTAATATTTTTACATAATTCAGTAATTTTATTGATTGCAATTTGAGGGACCTGCCTGCCAACTTAGGCGAAATTCCAGAATTTAATTTGCTAGCACTGTATTTTACCCTGTAGCGTTCTACGACACCCTAAAACCTGTACATGGGGGGTACTGTTTTACTCGGGAGACTTCGCTGAACACAAATATTAGTGATTCACAACAGTAAAACATATCACAGCGATGATATTGTCAGTGAAAGTTACTTTTTTTGCATTTTTTACACACAAACAGCACTTTTACTGATGATATAATTGTTGTGATACGTTTTCCAGTTTTTAAACACTAATATTTGTGTTCAACGATGTCTCCCGAGTAAAACAGTACCCCCCATGTACAGGTTTTATAGCATTTTTGAAAGTTACAAGGTCAAATATATGGGTCAAATATTTTTACATTGAAAATGGCCAGGTTGGTTACGTTGCCTTTGAGAGAGTATGGTAGCCCAGTAATGAGAATTACCCCCATGGTGGCATACCATTTGCAAAAGAAGACAACCCAAGGTATTGCAAATGGGGTATGTCCAGTCTTTTTAGTAACCACTTGGTCACAAACACTGGCCAAAATTAGCGTTCAATTTAGTTTTTTTACTTTTTTCACACACAAACAAATATGAATGCTTACTTTGGCCAGTGTTTTCAACTAAGTGGCTACTAAAAAAGACTGGACATACCCCATATTGAATACCCTGGGTTGTCTACTTTAAAAATATGTACATGTGGGGTGTTATTCAGAGATTTATGACAGATAATAGTGTTACAATGTCACTATTGATAAATTTTAAAAATGTATGTTTTGAAACCGCAATATCCTACTTGTACCTATAGCCCTATAACATGCAAAAAAAAGCAAAAAAGCACGTAAACACTAGGTATTTTTAAACTCAGGACAAAATTTTGAATCTATTTAGCAGTTTTTTCATTCGCTTTTGTAGATGAGTAAAAGATTTTTCAAGTAAAAGTCAAAAAACATGTATTTTTTTCAATTTTTCATCAGATTTTTTTTATTTTTTTTAAATTAAAATACATGAGATTATATAAATAATGGTATGTAAAGAAAGCCCATTTTGTCCTGAAAAAAACAATATATAATTTGTATGGGAACAGTAAATGAGAAAGCGGAAAATTACAGCCAAACACAAACACCACAAAAGTGTAAAAATATTCCTGGTCGCAAATGTACAACATCGCAAAAACAGTCCAGTCCTTAAGGGGTTAAGAATAGAGTACAACGAGTTGTCATTAATGCTTCTATTTGACATATTTATAAATGATCTTGAAATAGGCATTGAAAGCCATGTTTTAATGTTTGCAGATGACACAAAACTTTGTAAAGTAATAAAATGTGAGCAGGATATTGCTTTGCTGCAGACGGACTTGGATAGATTGGGGCACTAAAATGGCAGATGAAATTTAATGTAGAGAATGCAAAGTTACGCACTTTGAGGTAAAGAATGCACAAGCAACGTACACCCCAGATGGTAGTGAATTAGGGATAACAACACACGGGAAAGATTTCAGAATTGTTATACACAACAAATTAGACAGCAATATGCAATGTCAATCGGCAGTTGCTAAGGCCAGTAAGGTTTTGTCATGTATAAATAGGGGCATAAATACTCGGGATAAAAATATAATTTTGCCTCATTTTAAATCGCTGGTAAGAGCACACCTGAATATGCTGTGCAATTTTGGGCACCTGTTTTTTTTTTTTGCTAAAAAAGGCAGCCATCTTTTTTCAGGCGAACAAAGGCAGCGGGACTTGGTCGTCCAGTGTCTGCAGGGCCGGCCTTAGGGGTGTGCGAGCTGTGCGACCGCACAGGGCGCCATGGAACAGGGGGCGCCCTGTGGCCGACACAGCTCACTCATGGCCGGAGTGCAGGGGAGCTAAAAGAGGTACCTGGCTGGAGGATTAATTGTTCTCCACCCGGGTCTATTTAAAAAATAAAATAAAAAAATCGCGGCAGAGGGGGCGGGGTTTACCGAGCGGCGGAGGCGGGGCTTATCGAGAGGCGGAGACGGGGCTAATACCTCCCGAAGCCCCTGCTGTACAGGAAGAGGGAAAGATGCTTCCCCATCAGCCAACTGCATCCACTGGAAAGAGGTAAGTGTGTGTGTGTGACTGTTTGCCTGTTTGTGTGACTGTTTGCCTGTTTGTGTGTGACTGTCTGTGTGACTGCCTGTCCTGTGTGTGTGTGTGTGTGTGTGTGTGTGACTGTCTGTGTGACTGCCTGTCCTTGTGTGTGTGTGTGTGTGTGACTGTCTGTCTCTGTGTGTGTGTGTGACTGTCTCTGTGTGTGACTGCCTGCCTGTGTGTGACAGTCTGTCTGTGTGTGTGTGTGACTGTCTGTCTGTGTGACTGCCTGTCCTTGTGTGTGTGTGTGTGTGTGACTGTCTGTCTCTGTGTGTGTGTGTGTGTGACTGTCTCTGTGTGTGACTGCCTGTCTGTGTGTGACTGTCTGTGTGTGTGACTGTCTGTCTGTGTGACTGCCCATGTATGTGACTGCCTGTGTGTGTGACTGTCTGTCTGTGTGACTGTCTGTCTGTGTGACTGCCAGTGTGTGTGACTGCCTGTGTGTGTGAGACTGTCTGTCTGTGTGACTGTCTGTGTGTGTGACTGTCTGTCTGTGTGTGTGACTGCCTGTGTGTGTGACTGCCTGTATGTGACTGCCTGCCTGCCTGTGTGTCTGTCTGTAACTATCTGTCTGTGTGTGACTGCCTGCCTGTGTGTGTGACTTTCTATCTGTGTGACTGCCTGCCTGTGTGTGTATAACTGTCTATGTGTGTGTTACTGTGTGTCTGTCTGTGTGTGTGACTGCCTATGTGACTGTCTGTCTGTGTGTGTCGCTGTAGCTGTGCCATTGTTTGTGCCTGTGCCTGTATGTGTGACTGCCTTTAACTGAGTGTGTGTGTACATGCCTGTAACCGAGTTTAAATTTCCCCCACCCCTTCCTGTCAAGGCCGCACTTTGACTGACAGACGCTCACTCACTGACAGACGCACACTCACTGACGACACATACACACTCACTGACGACACATACACACTCACTGACTGACACATACACACTCACTGACTGACACATATACACTCACTGACCAACACACACATTCACTCACAGACACACACAATTACACACTTACAGACACACACAATTACACACTTACAGACACACACACACACACACATTCACTTCAAAATAAACACTCACAGACACACACACAGACATTTCCACTATCACTCACAAACTAATATTTTTTACATTTATTTTAAATCCACCCAGCCTCCCTGGGAAAGCTGGAGTGGATTTCTTACCAGCAGTCCAGTGTGGCTGCTGGGCAGGCAGGCAGGGGCGCACAGGCTGAGTAAGCAGCGCTTAGTGATGCCGGGAGCCGGACTGACGTCATATTCTGGCTCCCGGCTTCATTAAGCGGCGCAGAGGAAGCTGAGCAGGAAGAGCTCAGGTGAGTATGCTCCTTCGCTGCCCGCTGCCAGCCTTGGGGGGGCTCAAAAGTGGCCAGCCGGTCAGCTCTTGAGCCCCCCAGGATGCGAGGCAAGCAAGGGATCTGCCTGGGGGTTTGGAGGGATGCTTTTTTTTGCCGCCCCCTGCAAAGTGGCGCCCAAGGCAGATGCCTTGTTTGCCTCGTGATACACACGTCCCCGGTGCCTGTGTGTGTTACTGTATTCAGGCAACTTGGTGGGAGGTGGGGGGGGCGCCGTGAAGACTTTTTGCACAGGGCGCCTAATTGCCTAAGGCCGGCCCTGAGTGTCTGGAACTAAAATCGGACACTGGACGTCCTGAACACCAGTCTCAACAAGCGAACGCTGGATCTTTATTTCCCGAACAGCTAGAAGAGCGCTGTTCGGTACTTTTGTGCATTCGAATGAGGGGAACAATCGCTGCTAAGAGCCAGGGGAATCAATTCGTAGAATTATTCGTTTTTTGTCATTTAACGGAATAGACCGGCAAAACTACCCAAACTCCTGGAACTATTTTGGGCAGCCACCTCGCGGTTAGCCGGTCACAAAAGACTTCCATACTTTTTGAGAACCCCTGAACCGATCTGGGTGAAATTTGAATATGTTGGTCACCCAGATCGGGGCTATCAGGGGACATATTGTTTGTGGGGATACCATATGTATGTGGTGTTCTGAATATTGGGGAAACTTTTTATTTTTCTGCCTGGAGATAATCAAGTTATTACTTTATCAGACTTGATTATCTCCAGGACTAGGGGAGGGAATTGTATGTTTGTGTGGGGAGTGTTTAACGTTTTTACTGTAAATGATTGGTTGTACTGTGTCCCTCCCTGTGGGATGTCCCCTTGCATGGGGACTTGCATGAAAGCCAGTGTGTGGTCATTAAAAGTCAGTTCTGTTGCACCCTTCTTCAAGACTTTGGCTGATGTTTGGGGATTTGTATGCTTTATTAAGGGAATCATCTTGTAAAGCTATTGTATTTGTATGGATTTAGTTTATTTTATCTACCGAACGGAGAGCTATAATCACTGATGCTCTGGCGGTTTAAACTACCGAATGAGGATTGGATATCCTAGGTTTCCTTACACTCCATCGCCAGGCTGCAACTGCATCCCCCATCCAGACGTGTCATCCGACTCCTGTGCGCTGCTGGGTGTGGGAGCGTTCAGAGATGTTCAGCGGTCAGCTGTGCAGCCCCTTGTGGACGTGGTGCCTCCTCGGCCGCAGACCAATGCGAGGGCTGGTACCTTCAGGCCACAAGCCTGGGGTCCTTCCAGGTCCAGGGTCTCCCCCGGCGAGGGGGTGCGTTGGGCCTTGCATATGTCAGGCGTGCGTCTCCGTGTTCTTCCTATGGCCCTCCGCTTGTGTGGCCGGTACCTGCGGGTGAGTCCCCTCTGTCCAGGTAGGCGTTTTATGCGGATTACAGAGGATTGGATCATTTTAGCGCCCATAAGAGGCTTCCCAGTCCCCTTGGTGCTGCTGGTTTGTGCTGTAGGTGGGTCAGGGAGAGGTTTGGCTGCGGCTGGTCGTGTGTAGGCCAGAAGTTTAGCCCAGATCTTCTCAAAGATCACGCCCAGGGAGTCTCTCGTGTTTAGATTGGGTTTGGGTGATGCAGGTTGCTGCTGCTTGCCATGAGTAAGGTCGTTGCTTGTGGCCGCCATCTTAGAGGCCTGTCCTTCCGGTCCGTCTGCCTTAGCTGCCGACTTCAATAGCAGGTCGGAGACCGGTCCAGTTCTTTGTGGCGGGGACCGGGATAACCCTTACCGGTCCAAAGTGGGGGGGTTGGTTAGTGCCAGCTTGTGGCTCGGAGTGTTGAGCGGGAAGCAGCCGTCTTTCCAGCTCGTTCTCTCTCGTAGGCCTCAGCCTTCCGCCTTGGGTCCCGGGCATTCCGGGTGGCGTGTTGGGTATCTGCAGGTGCGTACTGGGTTCCCCGATTAGTGTATCCTCGTTATGTGAGGTTTCCAGGGTTGCTTCCCCCGATTTCATGCGGTTTTGTTGCCGTTTGGTGGGAGCTCAAGCAGAGCACGTCTTGTTCATTTGCAGGTCAGGCTCCACCCCCCTTTGGGCACCTGTTTTAAAGAAGGATATCACGGCACTAGAAAAAGTACAGAGATGGGCTACAAAATTGATAAAAAGAATGGAGCATTTTAGTTATGAAGAAAGGTTAAAAAAAATTAAATCTCATTAGTTTGGAAACACGATGCCTCATGGGGGGGATATGATAACATTATACAAATATATTTGGGGCCAGTAAAAACCATTATCTTGAAATCATAAACAGGGTGTGACGGAACGCCGGCACTCCGACTGAGTACCTCCGCCAATCGATGCTCCTAGTGCTCGCTGAGGACTCCAAGCACTCCAACCGACACCATCAGCACTGCAGACCCCACTTCCATCGATGCAACTGCGCCGGGGTCTCTGCTGTTTCCACCCACCCTGGACCCAAGGCCAGGATCCAGCTTCCAGTGGGTGAACCTCTCTTTCCCCAGAGAGCAGGAACAGGAACAAATCAAGCTATTGCAAGAGCTTCCTCTGGGGAGTAAGTGACACACACAGCACCCTCACTCACACACACAGAGTCTTCACACAGCACCCTAACACACACACCACCCTTGCACAGCACCCTAACACACACAGCACATCACCCTCACACAGCATCCTAACACACACAGCACAAACACACACTGCACACCTCACACACACTGCACCCCACACACACACTACACCCCTCACACATACACACTACACCCTTTCCACACACTGCACACCTCACACATACACACAGCAGCCCCCAAACACGCTGCACCACTCACACACAATACTTCCAAACATATATGTATATATACTACAGAATCCCTCACACACATACTGCACCCCAAACACATTAAATTCCAGTCAAACACTAGATTCATTACCCAACTCTGGATCATCTACAAATATACATATAGATCTCTATATACACTCTGAATCTCATATACACACACACACACTCATTAGATCTCCTATACACACTCTGGGTCCTTTAAACACACACTAGATCCCCTACACACATACGCTGCACCACCTCCATTTCTAACATACACACTCTGGATCCCCTACGCACACACTAGATTCGATGTAAGCAAACACATAGTGTCTCCATAAATGGGATACAGTGAGTATCCCAATTATGGAAACCCCTGAGACAAGTTTCAAGCAAACACAATGCAAGCATTTTATTAAATTTGCTTGCGCTGTGCAGAACAAATACAGGGCCCTTTTCTCATGCCCTGGAAGAGCATTGAACCAACATGCTCACTTTGAGATGGGGCAGGCTTGCAAGTTATTTCTGCTAAAGGTTGTTCTTACAAGCTATTGAATCATAAGTTGTACTTCGTTTTTCACACGTGGCTTCTCCATTTTGGTTTAAATTTTGTTAAATAAATCATGACACGGTGTCAATATGTCAAGTGCCTTTGTTCATCTGAGGTTGTATTTACCTAAATTTAAGACCTGCTAAGGAACAGATGGTTGTTAGATGGTCCTGCTATGTAAAATCGTAGAATTCAATGAGGGTATACTTTCTTTTTCCCATGACTGTAGTTTATAGGAATTACATTGCAAATTTGAATGCAATATTGAGAGTGCTCTGTGCCATTTATTTGCCTATCAAGAAAGGCAAACATTATCACTCATTTATCTGGATCTTTCTTCATTTAGGAGGGAAGATAGGCATATAAAATCAGAAACCCAAATCATGTAATATTTGAATTTATATATAATACAACTACACAAATGAAACAAGCAAGCTTACAGTGGGTACCATTTCATTTTAAGGAAAACAATGGAAAAATATTATTGATAATGAGACACTCACAAAATATTCTATGTTTCAGAGATTAGGAAACCACCTTCTAGTTTTGCATAATTTACACAAGTATTTACTTTAAATCTTTATCAGTATATTCAGTAATTTCCCTGGTGAATAAGAATTGTTATATGTCAGAACATTGAAAGAAAAACAAATCTAGCACTAAGTTGAAGCAATTTACGTTATTGAATTCCAGGAAAGCTCCATGACCAGTCAAGTGTCAGTAGCATTAGATCAACAAAATGGAAAGACAATTCAAATAATTTGGACTACTTGACCTTTGATTATAAATTGCAGATGACAAATAGTTTTTAACGTGTGTGCTGAGTAGGCAATACTCCCAGAAACTGTGTTTATTTATCTTTCAGTTAAATGGGAAGATGAACATATCTTTAGTAACCCATGAACAATAGATACAACTGTAAAATCTTACCTTACTCCATTAAAGAAGTCTTATGGTTGCCCCATGCTCTTCGGCCGTGCATGGCGAACATGTATGCAACCACCAGAGCCACTATTAAGGCTTGGAGAGTGTTATACTCCAAGATTAACCCCCCTCCACTACCCCCTTATCGGTGTGGCGTTTTGCATTACCTGACTTAGATGTGGAATACTGGCTTCCCTACTCTGTCATACATATTAATGATTTATTTTTGTCCAATTCCTTTTTATCTTTTGACCAGTTACAGGCCAAATTTGCCTAGACGCCTCTGTTGCCCCTATGCATAGACAAATGGTAAATTTGCTTAGTGAACGCTTTAAGGTTTTGGATTGAGATCTTGGAGAATGTAAAGTAAACATGTCTAATCTAGAAAAGATAAATCCCTGTCCTATGCTTATTTTGCTGGTGAACCTGGTCCAAAATTGGAATATATGACAAAGTGGGAAAGACATCTAAATATTAAGTGGCATGGGCTTCTGTTGGTACTAAGGAGCATAACGCAGTCTGTGGCGCTTTTAGAATCCCATTACAAACTCTTATTTAGATGGTGCCTTACTCCTTCCAAACTATTTACGTTAGCCTTATCCCCTACTAATACATGCTGGACAGAGTGCAGACAAGTAGGCATAGTAGTCTCCTGTGCTGGGGGGCCCCTTCTTCAGTATACTAGACAGAAAGCTGCTCTGCCACCAAACCACCATTGAATCCCTGCCACCAAACCACCATTGAAGCTGCTCCCGCCACCACCCCCCCCACACCATAGCTCCTTTCCAGCCCCACAACACACACACACTGCATCCCCTACACACACTGCATCCACTACACACACACACACACACACACTGCATCCACTACACACACACACTGCATCCACTACACACACTGCATCCACTACACAGACTGTTTCCACTTTACTCATCCTTGTGGATAAGCTCAGGGCAATACATATGGGCACAGGCCGTGAGTTGTGTAACAGCGATGGCAGCCCTGAACCCAGGCGTTGTTCGCAGGCCTGCTTACAGCTCTGAGTTACACTGATGAAAGGACACGTCATCAAATTTTCACCTCTCATTTTGAAACTTTAGCGCAATTAATGAAACAATGTTTTTTTAATCTGGCTTTTCAGTTATTCTAAGTCAGATTCTACTGTTACAATTATTTGACACACTGCTGCTCAAATAATTGAAGAGTCTGATCCGACATGGCTGCTCAGCCAGATAAAAAAAGTAAATTAAAAAAACAAAATCAATATACGTCTTTAAAAAAAAAAAAAATCTCATTCATTAAATGTAATAAACTTTTAAAAATTAGAATGTAATATTTGCTGCCAATTGTTCTTTGTGTTAATGATATTGCAGCTCCACAAATTACATGAATAAGAGAAACACATTATTTGGATTTCTTTCCATTTACTATAATTTCGATAAGTATGACAACATAACTCCTCATAATTTTTAATATACGAATGAACATGTCCTAAAAAAACAAAGAATTAAAAGAGATAATGTTTACTATTGTCAATTTTTTTTTAGTGATGATAAAAGAGGAGAAATCACCCAGACACACACAGATGGTTGATGATGCGAAGACATTATAAAGAGATTATAACCAACACAGCCTGCGCACCGTCAGAATCCCACAAATGAATTTGGAGTTCTGTTGGCGACTGAGAGAGTTCTCTAGGTCACTTTAAAGGGAAAATCCAAGCTTATTATCAGCAGGATCAGACTTTACTGGTCATGTTTCCACTAAGCAATTCTCACAGTTTTATCTTTCAATTTCTTGTCATTGTTTGTTTTGTACTAAATCTCTGGATTCAAACTTCCCCCCTCTACCCACTGACATCAATGGAGGAAGTAAGCTGTGCGCAGGGTTATGAACCAAGCAGAAAATAGCTCTCTGTGGGTACAGAGCTGGTAGAGTGTGCTCACGCTACACAAGTACTTGGAAAGCTGAATGGGAATGCTATGCTTCCCAAAATTGTATCAGTGGGAGTGGAGTGTAAGGACTTTTAGCACAAAATGAAAAAAATGACAAGAAATAGAAAGGTAAGATTGCAGAGAAAGCGCTCACCATAACCCCTGCAATAAGCTGCAGTGTATATTATAGTTGGAAGACCTAAAATGTAACACTTGTGGACATATTTGTTTTTACAGAAAAAAAAATGTTGAATGAATTTAATACTTTAATAAAATTCAGAGATCTGAAGAATAAGATCACCTTAAATCTGATAAGGCATTTGGTACCAGGAATCCATAGAATATGACAACAAAGGCTGGGCAAATATCTAACACCCCACCAAGTAGAAGAGGAGTATACGATCGGGTGGGGGGGGTATGAAGGTGGGTTTATAAAGGTGCTGCACTGGCATTACAATGCCATTATCAATGACGCTATTTATTATGATGTAGATGTAGTAGTAGGGATAGTTAGGGAGCTTAGGGTTAGGGAAGTTTGGAGGACTTAGAATTAGATCAGCTTGGAGATTTGAGTAGGTAGGACTCATAAGATTGATAGCTGACATCATCTTGAAGATAGGTACCTTTTAACAGTAAGTAGCCCTTGACCCTATACCTCCTGACACTATAGCCTCAATTTAATATTGGTGGGTAAGCTTTCCAAAGGATTTAATATTTTTTGATAGGTATAATTTTAGTTTTCTAATTAATCACTAGGCATGTGCATGGGAAAATTTTTCGGTTCGGTTCGGAACTTCTCTTGCAGCCGCTTGGTAGATAACTCCCTAATTCCCACGGTATTAATGAGTTATTTACCAAAAGGCTGAAAGACCTAAATTGGTCTTTCAGCCAAATTTACTAATACTAAGTAAAGATTACTTAGTATTAGTAAATTATGCCCCTACTCACTATACTGCAAGTAGGGGCATGTCTAGTAAACGCTGTGTAATTTGACTCATAACACTCTGATTGGTTACTTAATCCACCAATCAGAGAGATATGAGTCAAATTACACAGCGTGGGAAAATTCAAAAGAACTTTCCCACGCTGTGTAAAATGACACAGAGCACTCTGATTGGTGGATTTCAAGCCAACCAATCAGAGTGCTGTGACAGGTAAATGTAGAGACTTACCTGTCAGCCTCTTCATTTACCTGTCAGAGCACTCTGAATGGATGGCTTAAACCAACCAATCAGAGTGCTCTGAGCCTAATTGCAGAGCGGGGCAAGGCTCAGGGGTGGGGGTCAGGAGAAGGAAATTAGGTCCCCCCCATTCTAATTTAGGGCCCACGCTCAGGGGTGGGGGCCAGGGGGGAGGACCTTAGGTCCCCCCTAATTAGTATTTAGGGCCCCCACCCACCGCACATGGGTGGGGGCCAGGGGGGAGGACATTAGGTCCCACCTCATTCTAATTTAGGGCCCCAACCAACCGGCAGGGGGGAGGACATTAGGTGTCCTCCTAATTCTAATTTAGAGCCCCTACCCACCGCTCAGGGGTGGGGACCAGGGGGGAGAAATGTCCGAATTGCCCGAAATTCGTCCGAATTCATATACGGACTGAAACAAATTGCACATGTCTATTAATCACTTTCATTTTAATTTTGTTGCTATATATATTTTCTATATTTTAAGATGTTGAAAAAATTATTTTAAAAGTTTATCCAAAGATATTAAAACATTTCTACAGCGGGGGTGGGACCTGACCGCCGAGCAGACGCTACTTAGAACAGATCCCGCTCTTCAAAGCAAATATAGCCAACAAAAAAAAGCAAAAATAGCTCTTACCCGTCATATGGATCGCCAGATGAGAGGCTATACCAATGTGCTCATGGTGGAACTGAAAATGCAGACTTACCTGCAGGATTCGACCTCAGCGGCCTACAAGCATGTTTGGCACGGGGGAGACAGTCACTCACCCGCCAACACACAAGGCTGCTAACTCGAATATGGCCCCTCGCCCCCCCCATGGACCGGTGGGGGTTATCCCGGTCCCATGCCAACAGAGATTTCCTAACTCTAAAATGGCGGCTACAGCAAATGGGCCTTCCCAAGCAGCACAGCCAGGCTCTATTCTTCAACAGCAGATTTATATTTTTGCAGCGTTCTTGCTCCGTATGGCAGAGAGACATAGGAGCTCTCCCCAGCCCCAACAAAGTTACTCACCTTCTGTTGATCATGAGGGAGTCCCTGCCACACTACCGACATCTGACGCACCAGGCAGTCAATACGTAGGGCAGTGGCCGTCCGCATCGGAGGTGGAAGATCCCACTGTATTGCACAGTGCTCCTGCACAAGAGCTACAGGCTATGGCCGACCACCAAGACAAGGTCTATCAACCTGACCTACACTCACCAGTCATGTCATCTGATTGTGAAGTCGAGTCGATATTGCCCAGAGTGTTCCAGCAGGAGTATATGACGCCTGTATTACCATACACTGTCCTGGTTCCGGCCAATGGACTCTCACACAAGGCTCCAATGGCTCTGCAGAATAGGCATCCCAAGACTAATAACTTACTTTCTTTTATCTTTACACTGTCTCCCACCTGTGCTGAGGATGGCTCCTCCGCTTCTACACTAATTTGTTTCTAAGATTGATAAGTATGTTATCTTAGCTCTTTGTTGTTACCACATGTCTAGACACCTTTACCAGTGCTTACACTTACCTAGCATAGGTTATATTGGTACTCCCAAATTGTACACAATATGCCTGGATTGCATTAGGAGCCTTACAATTTACCGTGCATCCAGCATTCAAGTGTGAAGACCTAGCCTGTTGTAAAGCATAATATACTTTAAAGGTGTTGCTAGCATGCAAGCATAGCTCATATAATTTTGTTTTACCTTTAACCGTGTGAGCACTGTGTTTAATCATATCGTCATCCTATGCTTTCTCGTTTCTTTCTATTATAAAAATGTGCACGGTTTCTATACGTCATGCTTTTTTATCTCACTATTTGCCATTGAATAACTTGTCTATGCTGTTGTGGCATCACTAGTACGTATTTTATTACTTATGTGCACTGAAAAATAAAGAATTTAAAATATATATATTTTTTTTAAACATGACAATAAGAAGATTGTGAGTGCAGCCATATATTTTTACACACATTATATGAATGCCAAGAACCAGTACCGGGCATAAAAGCAGAAACCCAAATCATGTAAGTGTTTAAAGACTGCGCACAAGGACATTATGTAGATCTATAAAAAAATATGATATAAATATCATGTCATAAATATTCAAAAAATGTGCTACAAAATTTTTTCAAAAATTCGACAGCTTATCCAAAAATATTAAATTGAGGCCTACGTACTTCTAAATCTCCTACATGGATCTGTATATCACATTTTATCAAGTTTTTACTATAATACCACCGCCCCTAAGGAAACGTGGGGCCCATTTCACAGGTCATGGTTAATGCAGTGCCTTGGAGACACCAAAACTGTTGAAATAGAAAAAAACATTTTTCTAATACACTACTGTACATGCATTGTCACATAGGATGCTAGATACTGATGGCCATTCTTCTGGGTTCTGCTGGTTACAAGGCAGGGTTTGGCAACCTGCCAAATGTTGTGGACTACTTCTTCTGTTGCTTTGCCAGCATTATGGATGTTAGAGCATTATGGGAGATGAAGTCCACCACAACTGAAGTGCCTCAGGTTGCCGACACCTGTTATAATCGGTCCTTTGAACATCAGTACTTACTTTTAAAATGATTTACTTGGATATTTTTTGTACTAATTTGAAATAACAGGGAAAGAATTGCTCAGAATTGAATCCACGTTACTATGTGGAAATGTGTATCGCAACTGCCATTACTTTATTATTGAATTACAATTTCAGGTCTGAGTCAGAAATGATCCATTTAGAATACACAGTTAACACTAAACAATAAATAGGAATGACTAACAAGTGTTGTGAAACATCCTTTTTATTGAGTCTGTATCTGATTATAAAAAAAATATGCCTGCGTGTTTATTTACTGTCTCCAAGTATATTTCACATAAGTTATAAAAAATTTCCAAGAAATGTTTAAAAGAATTCAAGATGGTCTCCATTCTATTTCTAGGCAGTATACATTACATTGTCTGAAAGCAGAGGAAAACGGGCATGAAAATCGAAACTGGTTGAATGGTATTTTTTATTAAAGGAACATTTTAGTGTTGGAAATACAAAGATGTATTCCTAACACTAAAGTGTCCCTCTGCCAACCTTTCCCCCCTCCTCCATTCACAAAAGGGTTAAAATAACCTTTTCAGTCACTGTTTCAAGTGCCGATGTCCCTTGGCGCTAGGTCGCGCTCCTCCTATGCTGATGTCAGCCAATGGGGGGAACATAATGCACATAAGCAATAATATTTTGGATGTCCTCATGCAAAGAGTAAGGACGTCCAGTGTTGTTTCACAAAGTCAAACTCTGGGAAACAACAGAAGGCACTAGAGGCAGTCTTAGCACTGCAATGTATATATTGCAGTTTCTCTAAAACTGCAATGTTTTTAGCTGAAAACTGTAATATTTTCAAGGTTAAGGAGACAGGGGCACTGCACCCAGACCACTACAATGAGATGATGTAGTCTGGGTGCCTGTAGTGTCCCTTTAATAAAGAGTATGTGGTTTATGTAATATAGGTGCCAGTAAATGTTGCAATATAATAAGTATTATATTGCATGTGGATAACAGTGAAGGGATAAGTGGAGAAGAGCAAGGATACGTGTTTATGCACTATATGAATTCACAGAAAGATTAAAGGGACACTATAGTCACCAGAACCTCTACAGCATACCGTAGTGGATGTGGTGTCTGGAACATGTCCCTGCAGACTCAGCAATGTAAATGCTGCCTTTTCAGAGGAAAGGCAGTGTTTACATTGCTCCCTAGTTACACCTGGAGGTCCTGTCACTCAGACAGCCACTAGAGGTGCTTCCTAGTCCATTGCTGCCTTGTGTGCAGCACTTGTATTTTGCGTCTCCACGCTTTGCATGGAGACACTGAATGCAATAGCCTCCCAATGCTATGGTAAGGAGTTGGAGTGGCTGAAATCGTTAAGATTGATGATCTCAGCCATGGAGGTAGTGGCCAGACCAGCGTGACAATGGATTAGCGTTGAGTAAGGTACCTTTTTACTCAATTCTGTGGGTGCCAGACAACTTTATAGGTAGACCAGCACTATAGTGTTAGGAATACATATTTGTACTCATAACAATATAATGTCAATAAAGAAAGAGACAGATTAATGAGGGAAATCTACAATGAACAAACAGGATTATTCACCAAAGTGAGAATTAAAAGTGAAGTCAAAGTGAAGTTCAAATTTAAAGTCAAAATAGCTAAACTGGAAACATTTCTGTTATGTTTTCAGTTTGGCAACTCTGGCCTAAAACTTGAAATTGTCTACTAATTCCCTTTTAATTCTTACTTTAGTAAATAATCCAGAAAATAATGAGGATTCCCAGTACCTGACGTTTATCACCACCTACCCTTTATTTACCTTCAGGGGGAAGGAACATTAGCTCTGCATATTCCTTGGCACAGCACAGATTTGCCAGGGTGAATGCACACATATTTTTCTTCATCATGGTTGTATGGCTGTGTGGCTTCCAACGACTGTGTTTCTGTATATTGTTGAATGCATGCTTATTTATGTATGCTAGTGTGTTTCCAATTATGCGTGTGTTTTCCGTTGAAATAACCTTTCATATTGAGGATAACATCTGGAAGATGTGCATGCAAAGCTGTTCTTGCATTTCCTAAGAATTTCATCTTTTTCTCTTTGTTCCAGTTTATATTTTATTGTGCAGTAAAGGTATAACTAAGCAATGAGACATGCAGCTATGTGTTTTGGTATAAAGAGGTGGATTGTGCACAGTCTTTATGGTATCTAATCCAGGAGAGTCCAAATGGTTGAATCCCAGTAGTTTTAGAACTACAACGTTCAAGATTCCTAGCCATACTAAAGGCCGGCAGAGCATTGTTTTTTTTTTTTGTAGTTCTACAACATCTGGGGTTCTTCCTTTTAAGCACCCCTTATTAAATCAATATTTAAAAAATAAAACACTCCAGAAATTCAAGCATAGTTGTAAACTATATTTAGTACTAGACATTCTATACTCAAAGAAATGTAAAACTCGACAATGGACAGAATTAAAGAAAGTCTATTTACATTGCCAAAGGGACGTTAATTTGACTGGGGAGTAGTCAAAAGGAAGTAGTCAAAGTGAAAGCACTTCAGTTAATTCAGTTAAGTGGTGGCAGAGAGCAATCTGGTAAGCTATCTGGAATTATCTGGGGGCTATAATGACATAATTGTGGCCATTACACCGGTTGTAGAAGGCCATCACATGAGTTCTATCATCGTTAATATTAAGTTACACAGATCTTAACATTAGTGATGATCTCTGTGATGGTAGTCACCATCATCAGGAGATTCAGACAAACACTTTATATAGGACTCTGGACTATTTCTATATCCAGGTCACCCAGTGTCCATTATAGGTGCAGGGTGTGTATAACATTTGTTTCTTGTTAAATGTTTTGTGTGCTCTCCTGCCCTGCTGATGCTTGCTACCAACTAGGTGGAATTGGCTGTGGAGCCTGTATAGCGCCATCTGTTGGTAGCAACAGCCGTATGCACTACCTGAATAGCAAGTCTTGTTAATTTGCATATTCAAGTAGATTTTCAAAATATGGTTTCTGCAGGCAGGAGAGATATTTTGTGTCAATTATTGTTTCCCCCACCCCTTAATGATATAAATTTCTGTTGATGTTGAAGTTGATGTTATGATTTGGTTATTTGTATTTTATTGAAGTTGTCATAGCAATCTAAATGTAATGAGCAAATGGGCTAGTCCCCCCAAAAAATTAAAGATAATAATAATAGATGAGTATGTTAGTTCATTTTGGAATAGCATGTCCTGTGTGAATTTTTTAGGGATCCCAGTAACAGAGTCTTGGTTGGCTGAACAAGCTCTCTAGCCTGGGATATGCCAAAGAAAGCTAGGTCTGATGGCCACAATTAAATTTGTAAAGACAGGAGGTATCACAATGCAGGCAGAGGGATATATCTGCCTGGAAGGAGGGCTGCAGAGTAATAGGCAGAAGTACGATGCTTACCTGGAAGGAGAGCTTCAGCCTGGTCGGGTGGAAAATCTCCAGAGAGATCCCAGTCAAACCCTTGAGCAGGGTTTAAGTGCTCCAGGGTTCAAGCATGAGGCTAGAAAATGAACTGGGCAGAGGTACTCATTCAGAGTACAGGAGCTCTGTCACAATCTCTGCTGGGAGCTCAACCCCTATCCTTCGACCAAGATTCTCTACTTTTGTAAATGTCCATCACAATTGTTTTCTTTTACCACACTTCTTAATTTTACCATTTCTCCATTACATCACTACTACCCTCATCACACAGCAATCTTCTTTCTGCAGTTTGGTTCAGTTACTCCATCATATTGTTACCCTTCTTGACATGCCAAGTCTTTGTTTTTTCCCTTCCTTATGACATGTTGGATTTCCCTATATATTATACATGACATTTCATTCCAAGCATCCCACAAATACTTCCCTTCCTGCCTGACGTTAGTAGGATGTTATT